AATTTCAGCGTCGAAGCATGCTTAGTTGCCAACATGAAATATCTGGACAGACACACACACACACACACCGCGTTCCGTCACAATACGCGTATGCATGCAATGTAGAAACGCATAAAAATTTTCGTAGCTTCAAGCATTTTCAAAAATTCAGGACCTGCGGGATGCATGAAGCCTAGAGGGAGCAATTTTGGGCGGACCTTCGTTCTCTCAAATTCATTGGCTGTAAAAGTGGATGTTACAGGTGAATGGAGCATTGAAGGGTACATTCTCGAGTTCCGAACTGTCCTACCCACCTCTCTCACCTAACGACGATTTTGGTGGCACATCTTCTTTGGTTGGTGCTCCTTTTTTTGTGATCAAGAGTTTGTGTACTTTAAATGCTTTTGCTGTTCTGGCCTTGCCGTTCAGTACAACTACTGCGCGGTCACTGCTCACTGCTGATTCATCGGAAGCGAGTATTTTTCGCCAGTTGTAAGCATAAATGGGTTGCTGCCTCTGACAAGCTCGAGGTGGTCTCGGATGCTGTCTTATCTCTTTGAACGATGGAAGTGGCTGGACTTGGAGACGATATAATGGTCCTTGGCCCCAACTTTATGTCCCAGTGCTCAACACGAGACTGCTTTTCATTCTGTGGTATTCCAATCACTGCTTGGTTATTTCGTTTCGCCCCTGCTGGCGTTTATGCCCATTCGTTGCTGGAATGTGAAGATGTGGAAGTTTTTATATTACCGTTAAGCAAGTAAAGCAGACGCGCAGTGTGGCTGCTAGTGTGAACTGAAGGGGTCGCTTCTCTGTGCCGTTTTAAGGTTTTCAAAATCCATTATCGGTAACTTTCGGGTTCTCATTGGTCACTGCCGATATTTCAGGCGTTGTTTAACAAGCCGTCGACACACTGGGATAGCAAGACAAGCAGCAGTCAAAGCAACATATCGTTGTCCTCTAACATTCAAAGGCCATTCTCCTATACGGACATGGTGGCTTCACCATGTGAAGGGGCTGCAGGTGATCATGCGGACGATAGTCCACCTAATGCTCGAGCTAATGTTAGCTTTAATTTATTTTTCCTTTCTGTTTTTTATTTTTTGTTTCAGAACGGTAAGTTGTTTATAAAAGCATTTTTTATTTTCAGGTTAAGCAGGTGGGGATTTTTCATTGTTGCCCTGTTTTCAGGATAATGTGTACAAGCGTCCTGGCACATTGGATTTACCGGGTTTTGCAGAACCAGGTTCAGCGAATGAAAAGCAGGAAATACAGGGGCCGGAACTAACCAATTTCAATGCAGATGAATTCATTGCTGACCTTCCATTCAAGTTGGATCTGTTGTCAAATTGGATTTTTTCTTTCGTTTTTTATGATATTTCGTATCCCAATATAAAGAATGCTTGTGATTACTCTGTGGGATGCTTGCTTACCTGACCACTGGGCAGCTTTTCAGCAAAACCCATCTTTTTTTTTTAAACACCGGCATGCGTGTTTGAGAGCAAACATTTTAGACAGGAATAATTTAGAGAAGAGGTGATCAAAGGGATCAATGAAAAGCAGTATGTCTCAGCATTTCTTTTTTTTTTTT